ATCATGATAATATAATTTAATTTTGTTTTACCTTCGATTTTTAAAAATTATTGACATTTTAGTTATTTTATTCAATTTTGTAAATTAATATAAAACAKACCATACAATAAAATACGTACAAAAAGTATRGTATAAAAATAAATCTATAAAAAATTTATATTTGTATAATGTAAACGGTTGAATAYAAATTATTTAGGTATTTAGTTTTAGTTAAACTTTTTTAAAATAATTTATTGTTCTTGAGAAATAAGATCAATTGAAAATTTAAATTCCAAAAAATTATGTTTATTAAAGAAACACATTTAAATAACTTTGAAGAATTTATTATACGACACTTAAATACTTATAAACTTTGTTTTAGGCATTAGGAAATTATTCAAGTCGAATGGTTCGAATTTAATAGACGGTTATTAAAAAAAAAAAACTAAGGGAAATGTTTGTAACAACAAACTCTATGGTACATTATAGGTGTCGAGAGACCTTATTACTTCGTCATTGAGTAAGTTACTTCAATAAAACAATATCAAACAATAAAAATAAATATAAAATTGGGTTTTTTACTATTATTTTTCGATGGTCCGAACAAAGTTAAATTTAATTGAACATGTTTGTGTATTTTTAAGTGAATTGCGATGATATAATTGTGATGTGTAATAACTTTATAAACTTTAAATAAGTAATAATTGTGAGGTAGTTACTTTAAACTTTAAAGTAATATACAATATACATGCATATTATATTAATTATACTATAATTAAATAACAGGCACAAATACAATTTCTAGAAACTGAGAGTAGAAGATATTACATCGTGTTTAATGTAACTTTTATATGTGAGGATATAATGTTAAGTTAAACGTGACACAGTGTTTTAGCTAAATATTTTCATAAAAACTTTACACGAAGTACCCACGAGGGAGGGGGGGACAAGAGCCAACACCGAACGCATGCCTTGTACAGATTTTTTTTATCTTTCAACATATAACGCGTCATCTGGGTGAAGATTAATAATATATAAATTGTAAAATAATGGAGCGATTCACATTTACTTAGTTTACCTACTGACTTATTTGCTATATTCACTATTATTTAAAAATAGCTTTAAAAAATCTTTAAAAATACATTGAAGTATCTAATTACTTATTATTATTAGAAAAAAAAGTAACTATAAATTACGTTTTAATTTATTATTTTCTCGGGAATGGTCTCATTTCAATAACCCTCGGGGAATTTTCAAGTTTGCCAACTCTAGTATAGATACAAATCTAAAATACTCATCTTATTTCAGTTGTTATTATTAAATTATTATTATTTATTATTTATTATTTATGTTCGTATTCAACTCACAAAGTGATTGTTCATTAATTTTTCAAGATGAATATTGTGGATGACCTAATCAATTCGATTTCCGATGATAAAATAGTTATACAGTTATGTAGTATCTAGAATAGTAAAATAATAATAAGACATGTCATGTAAGATCGCKGCCATAACATAGAAACATGCATGACGCATGAACCAGTGGTCTTACTACGTAGGGGGTCGGTAAAATGACCATAACTTTTTTTCTTCAATATTTATAATAATATAAATTAAATGTGTTTAAAGATCAAATATTKTATGCAATCATTTGACCGCCATTGGTACATAAATACATAAGGGACTCTATTCAACTATTGTTTTAAAGTCATACCCTTTTTTTCCATTCTGATTRCTATATGTCCAGAAAATATTTCGTTAAACATATAATTATATATGTGTGTTAAATGAAAATAATATCGCTATTACCTACTCTATAGCTGCCAGATGTAAAATTTTAATAAAAATGGTCTTTCAAATTTTGATTGACAAAAATGGTGGAAACTGGGGATTAAATATTTGTTCTCGGACGATTCTCACAGTTTTTATAACACGTTCCCACAACATTTGGATTACTCTGTATAATATATTTATACGCATATAGATAYAGCTAACAATAGAATAAAAAATAAAACATTGTGAGAAATATACAATAGTTGACCTAKCATAAAAATATTGTTCATAATATAGTAATGATGCGTCAGTTAAAATTTCGAGTTGACTGATTTAAAATATAATATATTTATAAAAAAAAAGTAATTTATAAGAAGTTACCTGTCTAAAGGTTGAAATTATTATAGACTAAGGTTCAGGAATGTCAAAACTGTAACAATCAAGATTTGATAAAAAAAAAAATCCCCATTGTGCTTTTGACAAAAAAATAACTTTAAGTCCACTGTGCGACGACGTGTTATGAGTGAGATAATATAATATTTGTATGGTGTTCAATCGAAATAATATCATAGTGATGTGTGATATAGGTACTCACGTGTTGCAATTTCGTCGGGAGACTAGGCTGGCTGTAGATATAGTCGTAGTAATGCGCGCGTGTGGTTATCGTGTATAATAATACTATTATTATAATATAATACTTTTTAAACAAATAACAATAATAAGATCGTGTAGGTTGTGAACTTGTGACTGACCRCTAAACTGGCCGAGTACTGTTATTAAAATAGACGGTCGTATTCAAAGCTGGCTCGTCAGTTCTGAAAAAAAAAATAAACTTCCAGGCCGGAGAAAGTGATAGGCTGTGGATCGGACGAACCCCTTCCCGGACGAGAGACGATGTGTGAAYGGTTCTAGTAATCGTATGTTATGACGACACTATTAAATAAATACCAGATAAATGGTGTTCTGGTATATAATTATGTTTATGCGTATTATATATACAATAATAATATAATAGCTTAATATGGGTAATATCATTATCGGAACTGAAGCTACTCATCACGTTATTCTATAATATTTAGGTTGGTTGTACATACCGTGACGCGAAGACAACGGCGACAGACAACAGACAATACACAAACGGTAATAACTGGACGATCATGACGTCATATCAYCTACTTCCGATTATTTTGTCTAACATTGTAATGTTATAGAGCCAATAGTGATATACCGCARTGTCCTAAAAAACCTTAAAATAATGCATGGACGTGTGCCCTAAAACACCAAATAATATCTCTTGCAATACAAACAAATGCTATGTTTCACAACTTTATTTAAGTATACCAAGTATGTACACAAAAAGAGTATCGTATAGTTTAGTTTATAAATCAAATTTACTATTTCACAACGTGCAATATGGTTAATAATTAGATGCTGCAAAGTGGTTAYAGTACGGTCGCGATCGTTACAACTATAAGATTGACGATTATTTAGAAAATATATAACCTTAATACTGGATAGATAAAAATAACCTATWTAATTATTATAATAGTTAAACTTGCTGATATCACTAAAGAAGAAAGAGAATCGTAATACGTCCGTACTTCCGTATTAAACACTACTATAATATTTTACTTTACAGTCAAAGTGTTTGGTGACGAATTTTAGSGCTTTTTTTATCGATGTATTTACGACGAATTAAGTAAAGATTTAAAAATATAGAATACGCGTAATATTCGTATATATTATTGAATTTAATGATAAATCCTTGTATACAAAAAACTACTGTGATCAAAGACGCCTAATCTAATTTCTAATTAGATTAGTATTGATATTGATATAGTAATTATTATTTTTTTTTATTATTATTATTAATACGGCCCATTGAACAAATTTTTTACAAAAATATCGCATTCTTTATGTAATTTAAAATTTATAGTATAATATCATAATAGTGTAAAATAATATTGCATGGTGTACCTTTATATTAAATCGTAAATCAACACCAAAGTTCCAATACATACCTCAGAACGATGTAAATAGGATTGTGGTGAATGTATAGATATGTATAAATTGAAAAAAAATTTTTGTAAATGTCAATCATAATAATATTATCATACATTCATTCACAGAAGCGCTACGAATCTAAAATGTTTATTAAATTTTAGGGTTCTACTGATTTTGGTATGAAGCATATAATTCAAATGTGCTTTGGCAAATTTTGAATGATATACAGGGTTGGGCAAGATACACAAAAAGCAGTATCGAGATACTAGATACGAGATACTTTGCTTTGAAGTATCGCGATACAAGATACAATTGTATCTAAGATACTGCCCAACCCTGATGATATATACAAACTACTTGCTAGCCACTTATTTTTTATAAATTACAATATTTTTTTTTAAATAATAATAATAATATTCAAATTGGATTGTTTTTTTTTTAAATTAACTAACTTGAACGTTAAATATAATATGGGTGTTTATTCTTCTTCGTATTACCTATTTAATTTAAATTTTCTTTCTAATATTATGAAACARCAAGTGATTTTTTTGTTTACTAATAGGCTATTAGTAAACAAAAAAATTCACTATTAGTAATAGGCAATCGCCCACATTGGTGAACGTCTCGTTAAAAAAAATCCCTTTCGTCTGCGAAATATTATACTTACGTGGTATAATAATTGTTATAATAATATTGTAACATATTATTATTACTCAAGTACATATAATATTATAAAGTTAAATAATGTTGTTGACGTCGTCTTAATAACAATATTTTTTTCATGTTAAACTAAACAATTATTATATAATATAAAATTATAATGGTACTAATATAATTGCCTATGGGACGTACCTACGGGACTTCTATACGTTGACCGGTTATTRCAATCGTACGTGATCGGATCCTCGTCGTCGTAACATTCATAACACCCGATCATTGTAGGTTAAGTGTACGAGTACGTCAACGCTGCCGTTGAAGTCGCTTCAGTCGATCTCGCTAGTCCTAACCCAGCGCGGCGGTTTGTGGAGATCGCTTTCCGAGAATTTTTTTTGAAAATGGTACCTGCGATCTGCAGATGGTATAGCTTCTAAATGTCGGTGTAAATTTTTCACCGATTTACGCGTATAATAAATATATTATCATTATTATTATCATTTTATAGTGCTTCCAATAAAATAATAATATAAATAGTATAATTAGCAAAATATTTTATCATGTCWACGTCATTTAATAGTTCTATCAATTCATGTTCAATTGCTATTATAGCTAATCCAATTAATCTTGAACCATGGTTGACCTTAAAATATGTTTTAATAAGTTTGAGTTTGGAAAAGTAGAGTTTGTAGAACAAGTATCTATTTCTTTTTTGGTAGCTACTATTTATTCAAAATCATTAATATGTTGTAAATCATTTTTTATAATAGCTTTGTTGGCTTGTATTATATGTTTTGTTTTTTCTGGAYAGGGAAAAATTGAAGATGATGAATGTATTGCGACATCAATAAACTTATTAGAATCGTTTCTTGAAATGATATTACCTTGTTGGTTAATAATATTAGAATMTTTAAGTGTATTTTAAAAACTTTTTAAGAGAAACAGATTGTTTKTTTTTTAATTCGGCTTCTTTTTCAGTTTTCCTTTTTCTATACTGAGAGCCCGAAAGCCGTTATTGTTTCCCATCTCACATTGTTTTCCCTTTATTTTTTAAAAACTCGAATGTACTAGAAAATTAATAAAAAAGTATAAAGAATAYGAATTGGAATACAAATATATACGAAAAAAAGAAGAACAATATATTTTAACAAAATGTTATGTGGATTACAAATTATTARTGTGTACGTATACGAATATTAAACTGCAGGCACCATTTTTATGCCCGACGAGTAGTCATTGTGGGTTAAAGTATTAAAGTATCACACATTTTTAATACATAAGAAAAATCTAATATGTATGTTTATTTTATAAATAAAAAAATTACATGTAAATATTATTTATTATAATACATACCTTAAGTTAACGTAAGCAACGTAACCTTTGTAGTGACAATAAACATATGAACATACAAAATCTGGCGTTACAATACTTATACACAACTAAACATAATATATTATACTATAATATAATTTATATTTTTGTTAATATAGATAATGAAAATGACGAAAACAATTTTGGCAATTCCGTCGTATCCCGTATTCCATATTGCTTTTTGAGATAAAAATGTATTAAAAAATGCGAGGTTAAAAATATCGTTGTGATGATAGTGATTAAATGAGCGGTGATCGSCATGCAGTAATTTGCATTATATTTATTAATAGGTAGGTATTATATAAATAATAACTAAAAAACAATAAATCTATAATATTTTTGCCACCCCTAATTACCCACTTAAAATTGCCGCCTGTTGCTAATGCATCGTTTGCACGTGCCATGAGCCTGTCCTGTCATCACGATATACCTACCTATCAATTCTTGTCACAATTGTTTTCTATTTTGTAAAATAATAGTTAAACAATAATGCACAATATTGAAAATGTCAATGTCCCTTTGACCCGGAACCCGGTCYTTTTGTGAACAGATATGAGCCTATTACATGAGCTTTTATGGAACTCAATATGCGACCTAAAGACTTCCGTCAAAACCGTTATCTTATAAATATATTGTTATACCTACGCATGACACATCGTACAATAATATTGTCTTTGTTCTGTAATTTATTTGGACTATACATATTTACAATATTACACAATTGGAGATATTTTAATAATAATAATAATTTCATAATAAATTCTGAACTATTCACTACCGACTATCTCGTTGCGAATAATGCACTTTTCGATTTCCTCCATACATTAAAACATMATCTCATCACATAGATGATACTTAGAAAAACTATTTTTCATTTTCTCGAGATAAATATACAATAACCAGTACATTCAATTAGTTTAGTATTTATATTATCATATTTTTTTAAACTTTTCCCTCATTCTTTTTACTCATAATTTCTTTTAAAGTTYTCTTAATATACATATAAAATTTTCAACGAATCATTCTTAGTWTTGTGCGTTTAAACATACAACTTATTGAATTAGTCCATGCGCAACCAATTGCCCATTCAAATAAAAAAAAAAAACATTTAGTAGATCGGTAAATTCTATATTATATTTGAACAAACGTTATGAATASTAAAAACAATTCTTCAAATTTTAAATTATTGAACATCATCTGTGAATAGCTATTAAGCTTATAAAAACATAAAAACTATCAACATTTAATAAAAATTTGTTTGGACAAWAGCACTCACTTCAGTGAATACTCGAAACTGACCATTATTATGCATATACAAATTTTAAAACATTTATTGTGAGCCCAATCAAATATATTTTTTTAAGAATTTTTCTGGATTTTTTTATTCAGTGACTTAAATCAACYGTGTCAAGTCTTATATCCAGATACCTCCAGTAAAGACTGAACACGATATTATAACCAGCGCATTGTTCAAAGAAGAGAAAAATAATTATATTATAAAATGAATATACTACTATTCGTTACTTTGCACGCAGAATTCAAATTAAATAATTGATGGTTTGGCCCCGTATAATATCTCAATATTATCGTCAAAGATGTACTCAAAGCATAAACTTTAACTAGTTTATACCATGTTTTATATTATAACATTTATTTAAATTTTTAGTTTATAACTTAAACTCAGTACAAATTATCGTATTCAAAACTAGACATTTTATAATAATCTATAATTTATTTATTATAAAGTGATTGATGATTATTCCTATATAGTTTTATATCAATCTG